CCGTCACTCCAGCCACAAGCAGAGCTACATCTAACATTGAAGAGATGTGGAGCTCACTTCAGTTAGCTGCATTGCCAAAAGCACAACTGTTCTCCCATAAAACATGAAATTTCTATGATAACCAATCAATCTAAGACATTCTCATTAAGCTAAATAATATGACTGTTTCCTTAGTTCCCCCACTTGTGCACATTTCCAAAGGAAAAGCAATCCTAGGTATCTGGGGATATAAACAGATGTTTTTTGCTAAATCAGAGAGTTCCACCACCCAGCAGTGTTTGTGCTTGCCCTGCCCTCTGAACTGTACATTAATTGGTTGATACAGGACAGGTGCATCCATATTTTTAATGAAATATAATGATTTATGGTCTGATTTCAGACTTTATGTTCCAAGACCAAATTAATATAGTTTTGAAGGCATCACAGGAGTTATAAAGTTGATAAACTGGTATTAGCATTACAGTTGAAAAGACTTTTCTGATATATTGCTAGCCTTAAGGCACACACAACAAAGATGTTTATATGTAACCCACATATACAATACAAAGCTCTAGAAAAATATTTTCCTCTCAGACTTTTGCAAAGTGTCACATTGCAATTTTCAGTTAAATTTAAACTACATTTAAAATTAAAGCAGTGATCTCCAATGACACATCACCAAGACAGTGCAGCCTGAGGCAGGAGTAGCTCCAATAAATTTGGCCTTTTGGGGGAGTTCCACCAGAGGAAATTTCCAGGAGTGTGCGCTGTGTTTGATTGCACTGTGTGTGGCTGCACACCTCTGACTTCAGCAAGCAACAGTCTAGCAGCAGTTTTAGAAAAGATGGGCACAATGGCTATGTCTGAGCTTTGCAAGCCAAATCCTACCTGGAAAAAAGAAGCTGCCTTCTGTTGATGTATATATCAGAATTTGGGAACGCACACCTATGAAGTTTAATTCTTTAAAATTTGTTTATTCTTTAAAAAAATTGTTATTAAAATTTTTGATTTTATTAATACTGATTCATTTTAGAAGAAAGGCAGGTGTAGAACATTAGGTTCCAAAAACCAGATTTTAATTTCAGGAGGGATGCATGACTGTCTGGTGTTTGGAAGAGACACATGAGCCAAGGGAGCACTCTCCTGCCACGCCAGCCCTCCCACACGCTTCCTGTAATGCCTTTGCAGCACATTTGACTTGCTCTGACAACTGACCTGCATTAGAGAAGTGCTTAGAGATCTTCAAATGAAGAAATGTTCATAACTAAAAAGCATTTACTGTAATGAAGCCCCTTCAAAGAGGCTCTGCATGCCACAGCTGATCTCTAGTGTAGATATAATCTCACTGAATGTTGTGGAGTGTATTGTCATTCCTCTTCTGCATACATTATATATAATTTTTTGAGTAAAACAAACATCTGTGCACAGTTGTGGAGATGAGATTTTTATGCTAGTTATGGTGGATGACCTTCAGTTTTTTGTTTTTGCCCAGGATTCTTTCAAAATATAAACAAAGTTACAATGCAGCCTCTCACTTTGACCTTTTAAATTTTACTTTTAAAAATAGAGGTTATCTTTTATGCTGCAAATTATGCCTTTATCTCTTATAATCCCATAAGTCAGATATCACAGTCCCACTTCAATTATGCTAAACTCTTATGTTAATTTTAAATCATGTAACTTAATTCCTGGCAAAGCAGGCTGGTGATTTTCAAAATGTGGTTAATGAAGCAAAGTACAATCTAGATTCTGCTACTGAGATCATCTGAATCCCTTAGGTCGCTGAACATGACTGTGGAGAGGCTCTTCTTTACAAAAGTCTCGGTTAGATTTTCAAAAAATGAATTTTTAAGTGCAGTTAGGGGCTATGAAATTTGAAGTTGAGCGTACAAAGAAGTTAAATTACTTTCACTAGAGCCATAGAACAACAGTGCAGCTAAAACAATTACACTTCTGTGCACATACATGCTTTAAAGACCTTAGCTAGTGTCCTCCCCTGTTAAATCACAAATGCAAATCATATCAGATTTTCAAGATGATAGTCTGGGGACCTGATGTCCATGTCCATGGATGTATGCAAATCAATGTCATTTTCCCTATCATTTGCAGAAACCAAATATTTGCTGATAATTTCTTTCAACCCTCTCCTTTACTCAAACAATAGCTTTATCTAAGACCCACTAGTAGATGAAATGTTATGAGAATGTGCAGCTCTTTCAATACAATTAAAGCTGCCCCCCCAAATCTCCATCATTCTCTGATCTGATAGGCAGAAAGTTTGCCACTAAAATGAACTCACTGTGAAGCTCAAGTTCTTCAGAGACTGTCATTTACTAATATTAATTTATTTCTCTGAATTAAAGTATTCATACCAAACTCATCTATAAATTGGCCTCCATTCTTTTTTAGCATGTTGCACTTTTTTCCTCATGTGCTTTTTTGAAAATACTAGTACCATTAGTGTGACATTTTTTTGTCTGTAAATTATCAGTTAATTATACACATCCACAACAGACAAGACAAAGCAAATATATAGACACCCAAAGGTTGGTGGACATTTATTTTTTATTTAAATTTACTGTATTCATTGGCCTTCCTGTAAGGCAAGACCAATGAATAAAGTAAGACCACTCAGGATTTGAGGTTGAATCCAATACTTACAAGATCAGAGAATCTAGAGGTCAAACCAAGGTCAAATCCAAGGCAGTTTAAGGCAGTTTTCACATGACTTAGAAGGTTGCATGGTACAAAATCAAAACTTTCAGGAGGTCTTCTTTAATTGTCTTAGGTTGCAAGATGTGGGGTGGAGCCCACAGGAAAACCAGGAGGGATTTCTGACAGGGAAGGTGGGAGTTGAACACCATCCTGCGTTAAAAGGGGGAGATTTTTGTTCACCTGAGGAGAAGCATGTGTGGGAGAGGTTCAATTGCCAGATATCCCCTCCCAAACACTTCTGGGTGTTAACACCTGTGGGTCCACCCATGCACAGCTCACACAAGCAACAATGTGTGTGCTCACCTGTCCAAGGCATCCTTGCAACTTCTCACTGGTGCTCAGCAAATGCATCTCCCCACACCTCATGCTGATAGACAGGTTTTTGCTTCTCCTCTTTGCTTCACATTCCTTTGGAACAGGATGGTTTAAGCTCTGGGTGCTGCTAGCCACAGACAGCACAACCCCTGGTTTGGGCTGCCCAGTGTGCTTTTACCTTTTCCCTTTGGAGTGGCTGGTCCTGCCACAAGGAGAGATGTGCAGAGCCTGTTTGATTACACTCTGGCACCATGGAGACTGGAGGTGGCTTTTTTTCCTCTTCTGAGGAGAAAACTGGGGGAGAATCAAGCAGTGAGGGTACCTAGGAAATGGTCTGGCCTTTCAGTTGGGACCCACAATCACTCCTGTGGAAGGACTGAATCTGTACATCAGGCTTTGCCTGAGATGAAGGGAAAGACAACAATAACAGCAGTAGCTGTAACCAGTGGTTGGGAACAGAGAAAAAGGATATTTTATTTGCAGTACTTTCCCATCAGGCTGTTTCCTCACCCTACAACTTGCTATATCAAGCCACTGGAGCAAGATGCACCAAACCATTTCAGAAAGAAAGGCATAGGGGACATCTTTATTGTGGAAGGGCATAGAGATTTTTCCCTGTCCATTTTAGAGATTTGGTCTACTGATGGACATGGTAGTGTTAGGTTAATTGTTGGACTTGATGATCCTAGAGGCCTTTTTCAATAGTTCCATGATCCTATGATTTTCCAGAGGTTTCTCCTCCTCCTGGGACACCCTGGCCCACCCACTGGGCAAGACAGGTTGCAGGAACAACTGCATGTTTTGGTCAGGCAGCACTTGTGGGAGGAGAGGGAAGAGAAGGGTAGAAGGTATCTTTTCAAACCAGGACTGTGGGATTCTGGACACATCTTCCTCTAGGAAAAGTCACCAATATGCATGACACCACATAAAACTGCACCATGCACCCCCATTCCTTGGGCTTGGTGACCACTGGCAAGGCAGGTAGGACAGCAAAACACTGGTGACTTCAGGGAGCTCTGTGGGCAGAGCCAGTTTGTAGGTTTGGGAGGCAATGGGCACACACACCGTGTCTGTAACAGATTGCTGGGAGCTGGGCTGATAACCAGACCCCAGCAGACTGAGAATGGTCAGTTGCAATGAAGTTGCTTCTCAGTACAGACCTCAGAATATCCCAGAGCTGCCAGGCTGAAACTCAGTCCATTTCATCAAAAATGAAGAACTACCATGAATATTGGGACCATAGTATACAGGTATCACATGTAATGATGCATCCACTGTGCATTAAAACCTTAATTTTGTTGAATACAGCAGCTCTCTGAAAGGAGGGTCATACTTGTCAACTCCAGTGCATCAATCAAAATGAGGCAGTGGACTGATCCTTCACAGGCTTACCCAAATCTACTCTGCTCATCAACTGAGCTGCTGTGCAATTTTTAGTTTGATGCATTTGTATTCAAGAGAATCCTTCAATAAAAAAGGTCTAAAACTGGCTAGAGTCTAATAGTAATCAAAAAACAAGTCTCGCAACTGAGAACACTGTACACATTTTAGAAAATTAGCCAATGATTCTTTATTAATAAGTGACAGAAAGTAAAAATACAATCAAAAGTTTTTTCAAAACCCATTTCTAAAACAAACACACCAAAAAAAGAATCATGCCACTCTGAATTTTTTTTCTTAAACCATTAAAAGAACATTAGGTAAGCTAATGCAACAGCTGTCTGAGCCACTGCTTCCATAGAATAATCCATAATGGTAAAAACAGCTTTTTCAGGCATTTTAGTGCAATTTATGCTGTTTACAGGTCTTTTTTTCTTTGCATTCTCCATAATTTAGTATCAAATGATATCACTCTAGCTTATAAAATCCCCACTAATTCAAGAAAACTCTACTTAGCAGTAACTTCATTTCCTTTCAGGGCTAATATCAAAGTAGTTGTTTTGAATCCCAACATGATAAGTATCTAGTAGAAGCCTGAAGCTATTCTAGTGCTATACAAGTGGTGATGTATAATTGAACATTAAGTAATCCAAGTAATAGAAGTCATAGGTCAGCTGTCTCTCCTCCTTAGACAATTCCTTTAAATATTGCCTCACTACCTCTGTACTTGTTCTCTCGTCAGAGGAATGTCTGTCTTTGAATTTAGGGAACTTCAGATTGGCTGGAGCACCTACCAGCTGCAGAAAGTAATTGGCATCTTCTTCCAGGGTTTCAAACTTTCCTATAAAATCGTAGTTGATGAGGCAGGGATAGCAGAGCTTACTGACTTGCTCCCAGTGAATGTCCATTCCTATTGGTCGGTGGGAATCCAACAAATATTGGATAAACTCCTTGAACTTAACTCCTGATCCTGTTTTCAGTGCTTCTTCATCTGCATGATGTCTATACTTTTTAATTATTGCCTTCCCAAATACCGGATGGTAATAGCTGTTTGGATGTTCAAACTTATCCCTGAAGGCAGATACCAGTCTTTCCATAGGATCACGTACAAATATGAACTTGGTGTACATGTTCAAGCGTGTGTAGATCCCTTTTAGGTCATAACTGTCCAATTTTCTCAGGTGCTTTCCATAGTGCACATCATCATGGGAGATGTTGTTTGCTGAAGCAGCAAGTCCACTGAGCACCATAAGGACCCTTTTCCAGTTGGAGCAGCCTGCTTTTGGCACTTCACAGTACAGAACCTTGTGCCTGTCCTCTACATAAATTCTTGACACTAGGTGCACCAGGTGAGTTTGCAGCTTCTTTCTGCTGTTGTATTTCCTACAGAAGTCCTGCAGGAAGGCCCTGCGCTTTTCCTGGGCGCTGTCTATGTCCTGCCACTCACCACCCTTGACAAATGTCTTGTTTAACGGGTGCAGAGCAGGAGGTAAATACACCCCTCTGAACCAGTTCAGAGGGGACTCACTCATCTTCTGCTGCTCAGGGAGCCGCTTCTCCGAGGAGGCAGCCACCACACCGAAAGGGTCAGTCCTGCCCTGCCAGTGCCTGCTGCTTGAGACATGGTTACTGAGGCTCACAGGAGCACTTCTCCTCCACGCTGCTTTCCTTGGCATCCCCAGAGGCTGGAGCGTGAAGTCCTGCAAACGTGGAAAGGATCAGAGCTTAGAGCACAGTGACAGTCCAGCCCGGCCTGCTCATGTTGCAGCAGCAGCAAGGATGGTGGGGTGTGCTCATAACCAAGCCACACCTGGTACTAAAAAGTCCCCTTTGAATTGCTTGATCAATGCACCTAATTTAGGAACCAACAGGGCTAATTACAGACAGACATGCTTCTGAAGATTACCTCTTAGCACACAGTAGGTCTTCCTACAAAAATAAATAGCTCAAGTCACACCTCTTAAGAAATCAAAAATGGTTCACACAGGGGGGCTGATAGTCCTGCTAGGGGTGGCCAGACACTTTCCTCTACTGAGCACATTTTCCCCTGTGCCAGCACTGGCACTGGTGGAGCGGCACGGTCATTCTCTGGAGTGCACTGGCACAATCACAGTAACAGGTATTGTCTCAGGAGTTTGCAGTTTATTGCAGCCCTGAGACATGTGGAAAGTCTCTGTTTTGGCCCGCACGTTCAAAGAATGAATCAGAATTCTTCAGTTCTCAGTCTCAGAGTTGTTTATTGTATCTTACCTATAAAAATTTTTCTCCTGTCCAGCCGAGGTCCACTCAGCAGGACAGACAGAGGCACTCTGACCGCCCTCGGGGTGGTGTTATCTCTTTATACTACAAACTACGTATAACATGTTTACAATTACTTTCCAATACCTATCACCTATGTTAGACAGCGAGCTTCTACTCTAAACCAATCCAAAAGTGCCAACATCACAGCAGAAGATGGAGGTAGAGAAGAAGAAGAAGAAGAAAGGCTGGACACGCCCAAGTCCCTCCATCTTGTCCCCAAAACCCCTATTTTAAAAACCCCAAAATCTACTTTTTCACCGAGTGATAATTTTATTATTACACTACTTAAACTTCTGTGGCTTTCTGGTCTTCAAACCAAGTTGGTAATTTGCTCCACGGGTCATAATCAAACCCACAGGTGTTCTGGGCTGCATGCCAGGGTCTCCAAGCCCCCTGGCAGGGTTACCATTAACTCTGGGATGTACTGAGTTCTGACAGTATTGGATCTACTCCCACCACTGAGACTTGGAGCAGCTCTTGTCCCCCAGTGGTGGCAGGGGACAAAACCAGGGCTCCTAAACAGTTGACATCAGCTGGTTTGAGCAGGATGTAGTGACAGAAAAAATCATCCCTCCAAAATGGTCCTACTCCTACCTGCACACAGAGACATGATGGAAGTGGATGCACAGGACTGAATGTACATACAGGTGTGTCTGTGACACAGGTGCCTGCACCTGAGCTGCTTTCACAGCTGATAAGGAAAAATAGATGCCTTTGGAGCCTATTCCATCTGACTTATTTAAACATCAACATTAATGACACCAACTAACTAAACATTAACTAGTGACCCTGCAAAGAATGTGAAAAGATGAGACTTTCCTCCTAAACATCTCTCTGTATGTCCCCAGCCATTGTGCAATCCACAAACTGCAGGAGCAGCAAAGCTTGCATCTGTGTTTTGATGTCAGATTCTTCAGGGTTTTGTATCATGCAAGTTGACTGAAGAATTTCTTGCAATATGGGTATTTCTGCTTGCTTATTCCTGAGTGGATTCTCATGTGTCTGCTAACAGGAGATTTTTTTTCTCCTGTTAGCAGGCAAGCCTACTGCATTGGGACACCTCTACAGCTGCTTATTTTCATTACACATCTGGAGAGAGAGGATGCTGGTCAACAGGTTTTTTCAAACATCTTGTTGCAAGTAACAGAAAAATGGTTAGATGGCCAGACAAACACAGACCACCTGACTTGCTTCCATGAGCCTAACTTTTTTTGGAAAGCTACATAAAAAGGCTTTTCTGGAATAAACTGATTAAACATTTACTGGAAAGTTGTTTTGTCAACTGCCAGATCATATGTGTGGATTTGGGGGGATGATAAAGTTCATAGGCCAATTCAAATAAAGCTGTTAAAAATTCAGAGGAATAATGTAAGAAATGGTAATGAAAGAAACACAATTTGAATTCCAGTTTGAAAAAAGCCTATGAAAAAACAAGCAGTTCCAAGAAAAGTTAGCATATGTTGCAGTGTAATAATTTCCTTTAACAAAAACAAACCCAGAGGATCAGGCTTTTCTCTACTGCTTCAAGCCACTGACAAGCAGGTCTTTTGCCACTGAACTAATGTTTGTATTGATGAAAACAAATAAAAGAAGAGAGTTGTGCAGGACTTGTATGTCTGTGAGAGAGAAGGTAAGTTGGTGTTTTTAGAGATGCAAAAGGATACTTGAATTCATTGGATTTGATGTGGTCCACTTTTCTAATATTTTTAAAAAAATGTATTCTGTCTAATATTTTATTCTTTAAAACAAATGAAACATATGTGTCTAGAGATTTATCCCTTCTGCCCTAGGATGGAAATAATTCAGGAGCTAAGTCAGTGTGTAACAACAGAAAGCAGTGCTAGTAGTAAATCAGGGTATGACTATGAGCCCAATGGGAGTTTCAGCATCATAGTGAGTGGCAAAGTGCCATTCTTGCAACTGCAGAACCACAGACTTACAAATAATTTAAATGTTTTTACCTTGAAAGGGAAACCTGGAACTTAAAAAGGTGAGATGAAAAATATGGGATACTCAGAAACCAACTACACAATACAAGGCTCAACAGAATTAGGGATAAAATTGTGATAGTGCTAAAGTAACTAAAGGTTGTAAGTTCATCAGTGCAACTCTGGTGATTTTGAAAATTTAGAAGACAGTCTCCAATGATACATGGCTGTACTGGTGTTCCCCAATGCAGACAAAACTCAGAGAGGGCAGTACCTCATGATTTCCTATGGTATGTCACCTGAATTTAGCAGCTCATTTCTGTGCAAAGAAACTTAAACCATCTGAATTTCAAACCAAAGCCACTAAAATGAATCCTATACTTCAGAGGAAAGTTCAGCCTTCTCGAGCCATCCTGTCTTCCTGAACTGGTGGAAGATGCCCTAGTTCCACTAGAACAGGAGGGAAAAGGACAGATTGAAAGGTGTGTGTGGTCTTGATTTTGTTCCATTTCAAAGAGTCTGCCTGGGATCCAGGACAAGCCTCCAGGGTAACCCAACATGGTACCAGAGGAGGATTGTATTTTAGTTGCAGAAACGGTGAATGCAGCTGTAGGAATCCTTACTAAAACATTTTTGTGGGATTAAAAACTTCAGAGAAGGATGGACAGAACTATTCAGAGAAATCTCAGTACCACTGTAAAGGAACAACATGTGCATAGTTGGAGGCAATTGAAAGGGGCTCCTTCCTAGTGAGATGAGGCAAAAGGAGAAAGAATAACTTAGCAAAAAAGGCCCTAACAGAAAACAAAATTAAAAAAAAATAATCCCCAAAAGAAAACCAAAACCAAACCAACCCAAAACCCCACAGGCCTGCCCCTCTCTCCCTAAGCCAAATAAAAATCCCCAAGAAAAACCCCAAAACTCTAGGGCCAAAGCAATGATACAGGAAGATCTGAGGACCAAGAAGTTATCTCAATTTGTAAAATGTTATTAGCTGCTTTCCTCTTCCCCTTTTCTCTGAGACTTTACTTATCTCACTTATGTTGGCTAATATATGTTTTTATGGTCTCCATGAAGGATAGTGTCCTTGCAGTAAATGCTGGCTTGCTCTAAGAATTGGAACTTGCTCTAAGAATTGGAACAGTAACTTGCTCTAAGAATTGGAACAGATATTTTCCAAAGGCATAAATGGCTGGTACATTGCCATGGAAGTTTTCTAACTCAAAAAAAAATTAAAATAAAAGAAGAAAGAAAGAGATAAAAGCTTTCTATACACTTGCCTGAGTAACTACATAAGTATGTAATAAAGGTAAGATGAATGAAAAAATTAATTAAGCTTTATTTTTGATGAGAAATATTTAACTAGACAGTTTTCTTGGGAAACTAAGAGAAATTGTTTAATAGATAGTGCCATGTTCCTTAAGCAAAGCTGCCTGACAGTCTGACACTTATCTGCATGAAAGAGCTGAAAGCCACACACTCTGAAAGGATTTAAATATTTTATGACACCAGTCTTACATAAAGAGAGCTGCCTTCTTTGGCTTGCTCTTGGTGTCAGTGATGCTTTGTTGTGCATTTTATGACACTTTAAAGATCTGAACTTCTCCATGTTATATCTTTTTTTTTTTTTTTCCCACAGCAATAACAGGTAAACAAAAACTTGCAAAACCGATAAACACTTTTGAAAAACATCCATGTCCATATATCTGCATTCCTAAAAGTCCATCCCACAAGCTGCTGAGCATTGTTGTTCTGAAAAACACCTGAACATACACCAACAACAGGCAGCATGTGTCAGACACTGACTCTGGACCCAGATCTTCCCATGCAGACAGCCCTTACCAAACTCTTTGAGCCAAGTGCCCAAGGACAGGAACATCCATTTATGGCTTTCCAAAGAGCTGCTAAGTTTGGGAACCAGCTGCCTGACATGGGAGATGAACTCTGTGGTTACCTTGGAAAGATGCAACGCTGTCCTTAAGACATGCTGACAACCTGTGCAGCAGGCTGCATACATTTAGTGTCAGGATTAAAACCAGGGAATTGTTGTACCTTTGCCAGTAATTGTGCAAACTGCTCTCTGTTTGCATAAACACATTTGAAAGGAAGGCCACATAAGAAGTGGCCATTTAGAAGAGCAGAAGGCACTGTCTCACTTTAGCTAGGCTGGAACTGAAGACAGATTTAAAAATGAGTTTAAATTTGAGGAAAAAATGGAATTTAACAGATTTTTTCTGTGATGTGTGGCTACTGGCAGGCAACACAGTGAAGCTGTTGAAACAAAAGGCATTTTAGAGTCATTAATGAGTTAATGGATTTTTTTTTGTCACATTTTTATTGCTGTAGATTCCCTGCTCCTCTCCATTCAAAAAATGATTTCTCCTCACTGTAAAAATAAGTAGCCAATACTTTCTTTTACACACATTGAAGCTGTCTTTTCCTTTAATACCTTCACAAGCCACTGAGGTAGA